TCTTCACAGAAGCAAAGCCCAAACCACACCCACTGCAATGGAGTCCATTCTGACCCACAGCGCCCCTAGAGGACAGAGTGGAACTGCCCCACAGGGTCTCCAAGGCTGTGATCTTTACAAAAGCAGACTGCTTCATCTTCCTTCCACAGCATTGGGTTCAAACCTTCAACCTTTTGGTTAGCAGCCGTGTGCTTTAAGCACTGTGCGTCCAGAACGCCTCCTGCCAAGACAACCAGCTCCTAATCACACCAACTCGGTCTCGTAGGAGATGAACCTCTCTTGAGCTTAAGATTTCCCGAATAAACATGAGACAGGCCTCAAATTTCACCCAGAAAGAAAAACCTAGAGCCTTACCCAGAAGCTCCTGTTGATGGTGTAGTTGGCGAGGCAGTAGGCTGCGGCGGCGATCAGCGATGGGAGGTATTTCAGGAATGGGTCCGCTTCAAGGAGGCTCAGCTCCGCCACGTACTAAGCGCAAGAGAGGAGACGTCCCTGGGGTTAGCAGTGACTCAGGTGACGGGGAAACTGCCAACGTCAAGGGAGTTAGTTGTGTCCTGTCTCTGAGTAAGCAGTGTCTCCGGACGGACATCTTCATGAAGATCGGCAAAGTGGAGGGGAAGTGGATGGTGACCCACGGCAACCCCACGCGTGTCAGGGCGGAACTGTGCCCAGCCCAGGTGTCAGGGGCTGAAATGGGACCCTGGAAACGTGTTCCAAGCCCTACACCTGTGCTTCAAATCCCATGTGGAACTAGCTGTTCTGTGCTGTGCAATGAGGCGGGATGGTGCCGGGTGTGTGTAAAATCAATCTCTTTTGAGTTTCAAAAAGCAGATTGAGTGACCAGTAATGAGATGGGGCCAAGTAGAAGCCACACTACCTGAAGGCCACCAGGAACAGGGACACCCAAGCTGAGAATGGACAAGGACCTTCCCCAGAGGTGGCAGAGAGTGCGCGTACCCCTGGAGCCGGCACCCCAGAGTCACACGTCCAGCCTCCTGAACTGCGGCAGAAGAGCTGTGTGTGAAAGCCACCTGCTGTGGCATTTCTGGCCCAGCAGTGCCCGGCAACTCGGACAAGGGGGCAGCTGACCGTCACGGCTGGCTGCGACCGGAACCAACGGTCTGCTGCAGTCAAGTCGTGGACGACTGCGTCCCTCAGTTCAGCTCTGCTGCAGGGTTATGCCGGGAACAGAAGCAGTATGGCTCTGCGCCCTGGCACGGGGACACAGCCTTCAGCCATGAGTGTGTCAAGCAAATGCATGGAGTCCAGGGGCTGGGAAGGTACCAGTGGGAACACACCGGAGTAGGAGACGTCTACTGGTGAACTGAGATAGAAAACCTTACGGCTTTTTCTGCAGAGCATGTAAGCACCAGATATCCCAGATCACAGTGGTTGGAGACTACGTTGGCCAAACAAGTCCCTGAGTGCACTGAACAAGATCTAACTCCCAACGATGCTTCGAGAGCTAACACGGTGGGGTGATGTTGTTGCTGGGAGTCTCAAACTCATTCTGACTCCTAGTGACCCCACGTGACAGAGAAGACCCGCCCCAGAGGGTTTCCTAGGCCATGATATTTATGGGCCAAAAAGCAACATCATAATAAATGGAGATAAGATTGAAGCTGTCAGGGACTTCATTTCACTTGGATGAAAAATCAATGCCCATGGAAGCAGCAGTCAAGATATGAAGTGACATACTGCACTAGGTAAATGTGCTACAAAGGACCTTGTTAAAGTGTTAAGAAGCAAAGATGTCATTTTGAGAACTAAGGTGCACCACACCCAAGCCACGGTATTTTCAATGATCTCATCTGCGTGTGAAAGCTGGACAGTGAATAAGGAAGACTGAAGAGAAGCTGATGCCTTTTCATAGGACTTGAATATTTACCTGAGGTAGATAGACTCCTTGGAGAGATCAATCCTGGGAGAAAGAAGGGCTGTGTGTGCCCAGGGAAACAGCTCAGGGGGCAGGAGTGCATGGAGGGATGGACACTGGGAAGAGGTGACTATGGGGAGGAAGTGGGAGGGGGAATGTTACATTGTGGGAAATTGTGGTCAATATCATGAGACACGTGAACTGCTGTACAGAAAGTGAATTTGCTCTGTAAATTTTCACCCAAATCACAATTAAAAAAAGAGAGAGAGAGAGAGAGAGAGACAACTATACCCACTGCCATTGAGTCAGATCTGACTCATAGCGACCTTTCCTTGGGTTTCCGAGGCAGTATCACTACGGAAGTAGATTGCCCAACCTTCCTTCCGAGGAGTGGCTGGTGGGTTTGAACCTCCAGCCTTCTGGTTAGCAGTCAAGTACCTTAGGGACTATGCCACCAGAGAGAAAACTATTTAAAAAAAAAAAAAAGAGTTGATGCCTTTCAACTGTGGTGTTGGTAAAGAATACTGAAAATACCATGGACTGATAGAATGGACGCATCTATCGTGGAAAAAATGCAGCCCGAATGCTCCTTAGAAGTAAGGGTAATGACGCTTCATCCCACATACTTTGGGCATACTGTCAGGAGGGACCAGTCCCTGGAGAAGGACATCATGTCTTGGTAAAGTGGGGTGTCAGCCAAAAAGAGGAGGATCCCCCATGAGATGGAGTGACATGGTGGCTGCAACACTGGGCTCAGACTCCGGGATACGCCTGGGAGGATGGTGCAGGAACGGGCAGGGTTTCATTCTGCCGTACACGGGTCAGCACGCGCCACAACCGTGTGCACGGGTCACCACGTGCCACAACTGACTCGGGGACGTTCACAACATTCATGGGAGCAGATCACCAGAGCAGCGGGTGGGTTCAAACCGCCAGCCTTCACGTTAGCAGCCGAGTGCTTCACCTCTGCACCACCAGGGCTCCGCAGGCCGAGATTCGACTCGCATTAGAGCACGTTAATTTTCCTGCTATGCCGTGGGCCTAAGCGGTATTGCTGGTGCGTGGTCTGAACGCAAGAAGGGCCGCGTCTGGGCCCAGCATCTCTGCTAGGGTGACTGCAGACTGGGCGGGCCGGCGGGATCCGGCCACGTGTCTCGGCACCAGCTCTGCCCCCGGGCTGGGGAGTTTCTCTGGGTCCCACCCAGGGGCGTGCAGAGGGAGGAAGCGCAGCGCGGGCGCCGTCGGCTGGCCCCCCCGCGCGGCCCTGGCGCCAGGAACGAGCCTGCGTACCTTGGCCAGGCTCTCGGTGCGGACGCACACGCCCTGCCTCTGCAGGTACTGCAGCAGGAACTGGTGGGTGGTGGGCACCGTCAGGTCGAAGGCCAGCACCTTCAGGAGTAGGTGCTCCATACGCAAGAGCTGCCGCTTGGTGTACGTGTCGTCCGTGATGTAGACGAACTCGTCCACCTCGGGCGGGTAGATCTCCTCGTACTTCCTGCGAAGACAGACAGCTTCAGGAGGGTGCCCGGTGCACCTGCCCCACGTGGGCAACCGTCAGAACGGCAGAGAGTGCAGGTGGAACCCCGTGATCCCACACGACTCGGAGCGTCTGGTGCAAAGAACGCTGTCATGAACCCAGCGACAGAAAAGGTCCCCAAGGATATAGGCTCTAAGTTCACGTTCCCCCTCCTCCGCTGAGCGGTCAGTGAAGCTGTGTGTCTGAGAGAAAGACACCATCCCCACCCCAGGCTCCCCCTCTCCGCCTGTTTCCACTCCCTTGCAGAGACCTGGCCAACGCGTCAGGCACAGAAACCAGAGCGCGTGAGGCCCACTGAGCAGAGAGGAAACCCCAGGCCGGCCCGGAACACCGCGGGTGGGTTCCAGACGCCCGTGACAAAGCCAGGGTTGCAAGGAAGCAGGCCACCATGTTTGCTGGCCTCCCCATGCCTGTGAAAGTTATGTGTACACTGTACGGTTCTCTGGGGAATGTGCAGCAGCGTGATGGAAAAGTCCGAAATGCTGTGAGAACGACCAAAACATGACAGAGAGACACGGTGAGCACGCGCTGTTGAAAAAAGGGCACCAACAGACTCGCTTAGTGCACGGTTGTCAAAAGCCTTGACGTGTAAGACACGCGGCGTCTGCAAGGGGCAGTAAAGCGAGGTGTGTCAGGCACGGGGCCGCAGTCACCCGCACGGAAGGAGCGCAGCCAGGAGGGCGTGCTAGGAAAGGGTTAAACGGAGCCCCAAGTCCACAGCACAGAACCTGCTGCCAGATGGCAGACATCTGGGGGAGGAGCGTGTGACCAAGCTTGTGTCTCCCTGAACCTGAGAAGGTGACCGTCCCTCCCCTGGAGGAGGAGGGTGTGGCCGGGCTCGTGTCTCCCTGAACCCCAAGAAGGTGACTGTCCCCTGGAGGAGGAGGGTGTGGCTGGGCTCGTACCTCCCTGAACCCCGAGAAGGTGACTGTCCCCTGGAGGAGGAGGGTGTGGCCGGGCTCGTGTCTCCCTGAACCTGAGAAGGTGACTGTCCCCTGGAGGAGGAGGGTGTGGCTGGGCTCGTATCTCCCTGAACCCCGAGAAGGTGACTGTCCCCTGGAGGAGGAGGGTGTGGCCGAGCTCGTGTCTCCCTGAACCCCGAGAAGGTGACTGTCCCCTGGAGGATGGTGTGGCCG